CCCCCCCTGCCGATGGGTCCTTGACTATATAAACTACAGCCTCGCCCGACCAGCCACCACAGTCACTGTGATCGTTCACGAAGTTCGAACGGGAGACGCGTCGGAGATACCAGTTTTTCGATACCTTTCCCGTAGAATCGACCGAATAATCATTTGCTGAAAAACTCGTTGTGTGACATCAGAGATAATAATTAGTTGGACAAGAAGTGTGATATCGCGATAAGCGAATCGTAATCAGTGCGACGTTAGTTAATCGGTGTGTGAAGCAACCCCCCGACGAAAGGATTAATCATGCAGATGCACGAGCAGATTATGATGGTTGATGGACAGGAGCAACCGATCTCCAGGACTTATCAATACAGAAAGGTAAGCGTCCTTAGGTTTTCGTCCAACGCCTGTTCTATCTACTCAAATAGATTTTCTATTCTATTGGAATATCATTGGAACTAGAATACAGTTAAACTAGAGTCGAGTAACTGCAAGCCAAACGAATAATTCCTGCAATTCGAATTAAAAGATTCGTCTTTTCAAACGATCGTCTATAATGGTTCGTTCCTTTCGATTTACAGGTGATGAAACCTATGCTGGAACGCAAACGCCGAGCAAGAATCAACCGGTGCTTGGACGAGCTGAAGGACCTGATGGTCACAGCGTTGGCTGGCGACGGCGAGAACGTGGCCAAGTTAGAAAAAGCCGACATTCTGGAATTGACTGTACGTCATCTTCACAAGCTTCAAAGGCAACAACGTCTTTCGGCGAATCCGGTGATCGACGCGGATCGATTCAGAGCCGGGTATACGCATTGTGCCAACGAGGTTAGCCGCTGCCTGGCCGCCACTCCGGGCGTCGACGTTGCCTTGGGGACCAAATTGATGACCCACTTGGGTCACAAGCTGAATTCCATGGACAAAACTGGCCCCCTAACGATACACGTGGCCGCGCCGCAATCTTCCCCGTCTTCGAGCAGCGAGCTCAGCTCCGACGAATACTCGATGCCCCTCACTCCGGCTTCCAGCCAACCGTCTCCAGTTAGAATCGACATCGAAGGCATCTCGCAGAATCATCAAGGTCTTCTGCAGGTTGCCAAACCCAACGAGCCGATCTGGAGACCGTGGTAAACAAGAGGACGAACGATCTCAACGGGCAAAGCCATCGTAGACTCGGTTAACCGAGTTCTCGATGGAAAGCAATCGGACCCTCGCTCACGGAGAAGCGAAATTACCGTGGCTGAATCTTAAGAGGAGTCCATTATGCGAAGAACCATTATCGGTATTGCAATTTTGTCTGTGATTTGAGCGAATAATTCGCGCGCCTTCGATGCAAGTCGTGACGGAGTGGAAACTTCGGCTCCTCTTCGTGGAATCCTTTTCTTCTAAAATTAACGACGGGGAAATATCATTTCCCGTAATATGTGCAAATACAGATTCCTGAAGGAACGAGGATCGAGGAGACGAAGACGAAGAAAAGGAATAGACTTAAGACTTTCTATTTGCTCAAGACACTTTGGTGTGAGACGAGAAGGAGGATCATCGAAATATCTTCCTTTTTGTAATATCGTCTTACGGATAAATTTTGTATGTTTACTAATTGAAACGTAATGACGTGCCCGCGTTAGCGGCTAGAGCTTTAATTTACTTGACAGTTAGAATTTTCTATTGTTTATTTCATACTTTTATCGAGAATATTTTTATTTTGTCCATTTTGGCGCGAGAACAGTCGTGCAACTCGACATGTCGATTATATATATATGTTTCCTCGCGTCGATTACGTCAGAATTTCGCGTATACATCGACTTGAGAAAGATTCATTCTCGCGCTAAAAACGTTGTTATGTGTGTGTTAACTCAGCCTGCTGTATTAATTTTTGTGTTTGACAAGCATTTGGAGATTTTGATTCTCATCGATAATTATTACTTATCAACACAAGAAAATAGCTGAGTAGAGAATCTTGTGATAGAGAAACGTGTACCTGTGATATTTACTCTAGATGTAAGAAAATTCTAGATCTTTAATAAATATATATTTCATTGAATTCTTATTAATTCTTCCTATTCTCCCTCACCAATTAATTATTCTTCTGCTGTAATTAAACTCTTACGCGCAGCTTTGCATCTTTAGATGTAGTACATTTTTTCGATCGAACAAAACAATTAATTATTGATTGCTAACTTTAATTAATATATCGTCTGCTGTTAATGCGGAAGCCATTGCATAAATTTTAATATTACTCAATATTATAGAAAATATAATTTTTGGTTAATATACATACATTAATATACTACTGAGATTCAGTCATGCGAATGAATTAAACATTACGATAAATAGAACTAAAACAACGAAGAATTGAGAAACTTCATAGTGTACTCACTCTAACAGCCCTCTCTGATGTCAAAGTAAAACATTACTTTCCCGCCACTCGCCTTCACCTGAAATCACGTAGTTCCTTAAGATTAGAAATATAGCAAATTCTTCGTGATAGAACGTTGACAACAATATATTACAATACGCGTATATTGCTAAAAATATTATTTCTATAGTAATATACTCTTAGCTAATATTCTTAAATTTGCAGTGCTCATTTCTCTTAAATAGCAATCCCAGTTTAAACGAATTGGAATTGCAAAGGTGATTCTCAACAGTTTGAGAACCTTTAATAATTATCATACACATATTACGATATTTTGGATAAGTTAATATTACTTCAAAATTGCGTAATGCGATACGTGTTCCAATCGTATATTATCTATCATTATCATAATCTACAATTATCTTATATAAATCTTTCGCAATCTACTTTATTATTTATATAAGACATTAACATACGATATTTTTCAAAAAATAAACTGTATATTTGACCATTTCTTGACACAATGCTTTTACATATATAAACAGAATTAATAATAATAATAATAAGCCCACCACAGAATTAACATTAATGAACAAAATATACGAAATAAATTGCGTATTTTCGCACGAGAAAACAACTTTCTTCAAATACAGATATAGCATAAATATAGCAAATAGTTATCATTGAACAACAAAAGAAGAACAGTCAGTACACTCTGTTTAATCAAATGTAACAATGTCACACTGCTCCGATACGCACGATCGACACATAAATCACAATCGATACGAACAAATGGTTCCAGCTCTAAGTTAACAATTTTCGATGAATATATTCACTAGACATTTAATATTAATCACCAACTAAAATACAGCACTAAAATAATGTTTTTCAATCTACCATAATATCCGTATTGAAACACACTTTACGTGTTATAGTGTGTTACTTAATGATGCTTCGAAATGTACATGTGTGTAAAGGGTTAGGTTAGTGAAGGAAGGAAAGTACGATCCATTTCAAGCGGTACCTTAACCGAAAATATCTATATTCTTAACCACTATCGTTTTCCCACAAGCGTTCGTACGTCATTTATTATTACTGTCTGTTATTAATAAATATTATTCTTTATTAAGATTATTTACCGATCTGCAATTTATTGGAGTATCATTGTCCACACATGTGCGAGCATCGAGTAAACGAGGAAATATTTCCAGGGTATATTCATATTCCGAGGAACTTAGAGGCACGATTCGGAGCACGAGACAGATACAACAATGGATAAAAGGCAGGTAAGCACAGGAAAACGGCAAACACTCTTAAAACACGATTATACTCACTTTTCCGAGAAGGAGACCGCCACTCAGCTGTAGCACGTGTTGTCATTACAAGTGCACGACCACGCTCCGCGGCCATCTTGCGGCAGTTCCTTCAAACTCTTGAGACACAAAATGTTTGAGCATTAGTCAAATAAAATCTGATTATTTGAATTGGAATTTAATTGGTTATTAAATTTGTGAAAAATATAAAGAAAATTAATGAATACGTAAAGAAGCGAAGAAAATGGTGTTTAGTATTTTATTCAGTATATAATGGATGATTATGGTTTCTGTATCGTTTCCACTATTACCGATGCACAAATGACATCAATCGATTTATAACGGGATTTGTATGTATGTATTTTAAGTGAGATATTATGTAAAATAACTTCGTCGAAATATAGATGATTGTAAAGTTTTTGAATGTCTTTTTTATGCAAAATACAAAATACGTAAAATATACTAACAATAATCTAATAAAAAATTAGACTATTATTTCATTATTAATTAATTATTTATTAATTAACAAATAGTTAAAATGAAAATGTGCATGGTACTCTGAAATAAACAATTAATCCATACATTGTATAAGAATGTTCAGCAAATGTTACTTCGATTTTATTGAAAAATGAATATTCCCGGGAATATTATTATTAACAAAATTATATTAAATTTACGTCTATACCTTGGAAATTGCAAGATTTGTAAAAAGGTATAGGAAATATACTATGATAATCAATAATAATCAAATTATAAATAGCCAAAACGAATCTTAGTGGCAATGAGTAAAATGAGAAATTTCGAGACCCGTTTTAAACGCAAAATAAACGCATACCCATGATATTGTTCTTTTTCTTGTTTTTATGTAAATCGATATATCAAATTATACACAATAATAGTTTGAGTAATCAATGAATATGAATAAACGTCTTAATTTTTTTCACAGAAATACGCGTGATATGTTATAAACGTAAAGTGCTCACTACTCTGAACTATACTAATCGCTTTACTTCGAGAATCGCAAGCAGAATGCATATCGATAAGTACATATATCGTTCCTGCTTTGGCGCCAATTGAACGTTTCCGTTACATATTTGAAATGCAACAATAAAAATATACTCAGAAGAAACACGACTATTGTTATTTATATAATTATTACATATAATGTAAATACAATTTTGATAATTGATATAATTTTATTTACTCTTCCAATCATAGAGATAGTGAGTTTAAATGATGTTAGGTTTAAATGATCGAACAGAAAAACTAACTTTAAGAGATATATTAGAAGCTAATCATCAAGAACAAATATTAATCCACCTTATATCTAATCTGTAATATTAAGTATAATTAAGAATAATTAATAAATGCGAGAAAGTAATGTTTGTATATAAACACGATATGCATAACCTAGTAAATGAAGTTCAAAAAACATATAAACAAATATGTATATTTATGTACTTGTATATCATAATCTACTTACTTCGATGTCAATAGCAGCAAATGATTATATTAATAACAGGTATTGTTAATTATTTTCTCAATGTTCCCAATAATTTGCTTTATAAACTCGAAAAGTTCGTTGACACAAATCATCAACAAGCGACATAACTACATGTGCATATACATATTCATATGCATTTTCGAAAACTAGAGTGCGTTGCAGTTCTTAGTTCATGATATACTACATTACCGACGTAACAATCGATATAGCAGTTTTAAATTACAAAGCCAATTTGAAACATAAATTTTGATACATATATGTGTACGTTTAAATTTAAGTAAAATCACTCTAATGTAAAAGGAGTATTATCTTCTAATTCCTAATAGATATAATAAAACACAAATCTATAGGCTATTGGATTACTATTTTTCATTATTTTAAGCAAATAACAATGAAATGTTAAACTTTTGAACATAAAAATCTGTAAAAATGTAATTCTTGTATATCAAATATTTTACTAGCAGGGAAATACAATTATATCTATTAAATTTATTATTGTTCTTATGCTTATTGTATAATTTCAATGTAATCAAATGTTCCACTTTATTAACTTGGAACATTCAAATATTTTCCACTCAGAATTGTATCTGTAACGAAAGATATTATGTGACTTTTATTAACTTTATCTATCCACAAATCCTATCGATTGGTTCTAATTTAGTTTCCAAGACAACGATTGCGCCGTTTAAAGTTATCCGCAATATCAGTGAAGAAAGAAACCGCGCAACTTACGTCAATCTCATTCATTTGTCGTTTTATTTATATTACTACGCAATAATACAAGCATTATATTAAAGAAATCACGATTATGGTTCAAAATCAAATAGTTCAAGCTGCAATACCTACTGTGTGTTACCGGAATAAAATGAAACCAATGAAAAGTGTTAAGGTATGTGATTTTCCTATTATCAGTCTATTTTTTCTTCTTAGTTTTTCGTTCAACTAAACAGCACGATTTAATTCTTCGAGTAACAAGATAATTTACTCACACTGTTAGATATCAAAAAGTACTGTAGAGACAATAACTCCAAAAAGTTCGCCAAATTCGATTAATCAACCTGCTTTATTCGCGGAGAAACAGGAAACAAAAGATGTAAAATTAAATGAAATCGAAAAGGAGGAACAGAAGGAGGAAGAAAAAGTAACATCTACTAAAGAGGTATCTTTTCCATTAGATACTTATTCTAGAGTAATATATATATTATCTTTGTCAAATAAATTATTTCTTTTAATATGATCGCTCGAGTATCAAATTATCAAATTATATAAAGAATGGCTTCAAGATTTTATAAAGATAGTTTGCTTTCGTGACAGAATATCAAGAGTAGAAGAAGAGAAGAACGTTTAGCTAGAGAAAAGCGAGAGGAGGAAGAAAGGGAAAGATTCGTAAAAGAAGCTGCTGAAAAGAAGGCAGCAGAGAGAGAAGAAATAATAAAACAAGCGAAAAGGTTTATTCTTTACAGGAAACCAATGTGTAGACGAATTAATCAAGGTCTTCTCGTTTCTGAGGTATTTAGAGAGTAAAAAATGTAGCACAAAAATTTCAATTTTAATCCAGTTGCCTTTTTATTTTTATTTTCTCGTCAGAGAAATATATTTGGATATGGAATTGTTAATTATGATTTCGTTAGTGTTATAGAGAATTGGATGCTCAACTAAAATTTCGGGAAACTCTTAAAAACGCAGATAAAGAGGAAGAAGTAGCGTACGTGAATTCAATGAAAGAGGATTTAGCAAAATACGAAGAGGAAATGAAACATAAAACGGAAAAGCAGTTGGAGAAAAGAAAGCATTATGCCTTCGAATTAAAGAAACAGTAAAATTTTACGACATTTTACATACCTGGTAGAAAACATTTTCTTTATTTGAATAACTTAATTTCCCGTTAGAATCGAAGAAACTAAGAATGCCGAAGCAGCGAGGGAGAGAGAGGTATTCGAAGCTGGTAAACAAGATCAAATAAATATGGAAAGATACTTGCAAGATATTAAAGAATTTGAAGCGCAACAAGTCAGTCTTTAATAATTAATATGTAATATTCCTTATATGTTTATGTTTAATAATTAATAGCTAAAAAAGAAGACTTATATTTATATATATTTATAATCTAACACGATATTACTTTGGTAATTATTTTTCGTAATGTATATGCGATATAAATGTGTTCGTAGTTGCAAAACAAGAAACAAAAATTAAAGCAATTTTTTAAAGACGCGATAGAGGAAAAGAAACAATTCGATCTGGAGCTTAAACACGAAGAAGAATTCGAGGATCGTGCAAACGAAATTTATCGGAATGCTAAAACGCGAATACAAAAGCTTCACAAAGCAGTGAAACACAAGGAAGAGGAAGAAAGAGAGCAGAAATCTCAACTAATAGGTAATTGCATTTCAATTTTATTTCAATCTACACGTATATTTTATTATTTATACGATTAAACGATTGATTATTTCAACAGCTGAGAAGTACGGCGTGGTTTTGAAGTCGATAAGAAGAAAGATAGATATGGAGGAACAACTATTGAAAAAAGCTCAGGAGGAGCAAGAGGAACGATATCAAGAAAAACAAAAAGCACGGAAACAGCATGAGGATCAAATGCGACAGGAAGTGCAACGTTTCCGACTCGAGGTGTTGGCTACGAAGTCGAAGCAACTTCAAGAGGAAAGAGATTTGAAAACGTGGGAGACGATTCAAAGATTTAAGAGGGCCGAGTCCGACGAAAAATACAGAGACGAGGAACGAAAGAAAAATTGGGATAAAAAGATGGAATACGGGAACGAAATAAAAAAGTACATTGTAAGTGTTTTTTTTTTGTACGTGGAGAAATCCTCATGGACATTCCGCTGTTCTAATAATCGTGTAACAGCAAAGTAGTGTCGGACTCCTACCGACTAAGACCTCCCCAGACGGAACAGTAGCCAGTGCGCGAGTTGATGATCGTCGGGCTCCTGTGTGTTTACTAACACCAAGCACCTTTTTAACCGAGCACACTCCCAGAAAGTACACCAAAACACAGACGCAAGGGAGGGGCTGGCTGGCCACTTGCCTGTAGTATATTACTTTTAAGAGAAAGTTTTGATTTTGCAATCCTCTTTTTGGATTATTCCATCATGTTGATGGTTTCGAACTCGCGATGTGTCGTCTTCAGTTCTGAGCCTTAACGAGCGAAGCTAACTGTCCCGCTAATTATTTTACCGATCTAGTAACTTCACTTTCTAGACAAATGATCTCTGTCTACGATCTATTTTTCGCAAGTCCCTTCAGATCACTGTAGAACTCCGTTTACTTGAACCTAGAGTTCACTGATTTTCTCCGCTATCTATGATTTGTTATTGACAGGTTTCATTAATTTGAACGATGCTTGATACATTTTTAGAATGAAAAAATAGCGGAGAGAATAAAGGAGAAAATAGCGGAGGAAAAAGCTGCAGACGTGAGAAAAATTATTGAGAAAGAGAATCAGAAGGTTCTTGACTATGCGGAGGAAGTTATAAATGAATCTAAAGGCGTGAGGCCGCTTTATCCAATCCTTAAGGTTGTGCAGGTATGTAAAATTATTTCTTAATAACTAGTACGAAATGTTTAAATTTCACATTGACAATGATATTTTTACTGATAGGACTGTAAACGAGAGATGGGTTTAATACAACCCGAAAAGAGAGAAGAAACAATCGTTGAGAAACCTGGAAGAAAACAAAGGGTCCGCAAATGTCAAAAATTTGTCGCCGAAGATAAGATTCGTTATTTGTAATGACGAAAAATAGAAAAAAAGTTAATTGTCACTGTTTTACCAATATAACAAGAATTCTAATAGAATTGTGCTGTAGAATTGTTGGTGTGAAAATTTAAACTTTCCCTTCCGAAATTCATATCTAATTATTCGTTTATTTTGTATATAATTAAGAAATATAGTCATGATGAATTTTAATGTTAAGATCAAGTTTGTGGTATATTTATTTAATAAATGCCCATCAAATCAGATACTTTTCTTACGCCCTGTACAGTTCGTCTTTTAACTTTTAACTGTTGGAATCGAATGTCATATTGTTATAGTGACGCTGGCCCACGTTTGCGATAAATTATCGTACATGTTACTCTAACGTTAAATGTTAGGTTAATGCGATATAAATATATTTTCACAACTTTTACAAGTTTTTCGACGATCTTCAAGAATTCTGACAACATATTTTTGAGAAATATAAGACGAAAATCGAAAGGACGTTGAAAATGTCTGATAAAGAGCCGCAAGAAAAGAAGAAGGAGCCTTTACCCCCAGTATTTACTTTCATAAATGCTGGCCTTTCGGGGTATGTTAGTATAATTCCAAATATTCAATTCCTCTTTATCGACATTTTATCTAATTTCTTACGTCACAAACTTAGATCATATGTATATGATACATGGAAAAAATATGAATAAATTTTCTGATTAATATTTCTTATTTTCTTATCTGATAATCATGTATTAAAAGTTATTTTATATAATAGTCTTATGTAATCTTATTACCGCTATTACGAAAATTTGCTAGAATGGCGGCGACATGTGTAGTTCATCCTATGGATGTAATAAAGAATCGAATTCAGATACAAAAGGAGAAAACTTCTGTCGGTAAGGTCGTCGCCTCCATATACAAAAATGAGGGCATTTTGAAATTTTATTCCGGGCTTAGCGCTGGTCTTGTACGACAAGCGACTTACACCACTGTAAGACTTGGTATATACAATCAATTACATGAATATTGGAAGTGAGTGCAAAATAATTTATTTGCGACCGGGTAACTATGTTTTCTTTCTATTTTTACATGTCTTTGATTATGAGCAATATTTTCAGAGAAAAGTACGTGGGCAAACCAAATTTTGGTGTATTGTCACTGATGGCAGCTACAGCAGGAGCTATTGGAGCCTTTGTTGGTACACCAGCAGAAGTCGCCCTCGTAAGAATGACGGCCGATGGCAGATTACCGAAAGGTTATTATCATCGTTTCATTCTATAGTTGCGTGATATGCGATATTATTTTTTCAACAATTTTTTCCCCTTTCGTTCTTCCTTATATCGTTGATGTAAAACGAGTTTTCCTTTTATCGATCTTGATGTTGTATATATGCAATTTCCTGCAGAGCAACGAAGGAATTACAAAAACGTGTTCAACGCGTTTGCAAGAATTTCTCGAGAAGAAGGAATCACCACTCTTTGGAGAGGCAGTGTAGCAACGATGGGACGAGCGGTGGTTGTCAATGTATCACAACTTGCAACTTACAGTCAAGCAAAATTTTTAATATCCACGAAATGTACTTATCTGCTTCAAATATTATCTATATCAGAAGAATTTATATCGATAGAAGTATCAAACACGTTTTATTCCACAGTGAATATACCGGAGGGTGTTGGTCTGCATTTCTCTGCGTCAATGTTATCTGGATTCCTTACTACCTTCAACTCTATGCCATTTGATATAACTAAAACAAGGTAAAATAATTAGATATTGATCTTTTCATATTCGCTATATTAATTTTCTTAATAGCGTTCCTAGCAGAAATTTTAAAAATCTCGAGAACAATCTTAATGCAAGCGTTCCTATTTCGATTATAATAAAATAGTTCCAAAGAAAGTAACAATTTTCAAGTTAAAAGGAATTTCTGTGACTGCAAATTTTCAGACTGCAAAACTTGAAAGGTGTGGAAAAGCCACCTGGTATGATCACAATGTTATTGTCGATAGCGAAAACCGAAGGTGTAAAGGCACTTTGGAAAGGTTTCTGGCCTACATATTGTAGAGTAGGGCCACACACAGTATTAACGTTTATCATTAATGAACAAATTGCAAAAATGTATAGACGATACGCGACATAGATATATAGCAAGCACAGAAAATATTTTAATGTCTGCTTTCTTATATATGTGTATACATATTATATTGCGTACTGTATTGTACCGCATTGTATTGTATACGAGCATTAATTGTATATGAATCTTTTATTGTATACGAATATTCAAGTGGCATGTACGACAAGATTGATATATTTATGAATAAACAATTATATTCATTTAGTTACTTATTTACAATTCTCTAGTAATAAGACAAACTTTTAAAAATAACGCTAGAGTGTATTTTCTTGCATGCACCGCAATATTTTAAGCTAATATAGTGTCACCTTCAAGCTCGCAATATCAGTCTGCATATTGCTAGGAAAGAATTCAATTTGCATGAATATATCGTTTTTTCTCTGCATTGTAAATGATAACGTAATCAAGTATTTATTATAAAAAAAAATGGCGAATACATAAAATAAAATCGTGTAAGATTTTATTATTGTTGTTGTTGTTTGCAAGAAACTTTTATAAAAATATCACTCAATGGGTTGTAGAAAGAGTATACGATATATTTGTCTTAACTTATCAAGTGTCACCATGGTAATTACAGCATTGGGAGCTGCTCTGCTGTAGTATGGTAGAAATCCACGCCACATCGATGTTACTCCTTCGGTTCTTGCTATGGTAGCGATCGCAGCGATGATCCCGGGTGGTTTCGACGGTAAAGTCCAAGTTTGTATTCTTTGAGAAATAATTGTGGATAAAAATATATTAATTTAGTAATCTTCTGACAATTACCTAGTTTTAGCTACATCCACAGGCACTGACAGCACAGACATCACGAATCCAGATATCATCGCTGAACAGAATGACAATAATATGCCTTCTTCGAATAAACCTATTGTTCATATCATATATGATTAAAGTAGTTGTTAATATAACTGCAATCTATCCGCTTCATAATCATGTACGAAATGAAAATTACAGGGGAAAAGCACGATGAAATCTTTATAGTGGAATAGTTTTAGAATTGTTGGTTGATAACTATCTTAGCACTGTCGATCTTGAAAATCAAAAAGATACAATTATTACAATATTCTAATATTATAACGGGGAATATTTTGAAAATCCTGAAGAATATAAAAACACAACCAAATTAAAATATAATTTTGGTACCATAGACTTGATTGTCAACATGTTGAATTTTAAAACTACTTCTGTATAAAAGCTATGAAATTTAATTTATGTTCTTCCCTGTAATCTTCATGCTTTTTCACTGCTTGGTCCTTAATGGGTTGATTATTAAAGTTCCTGTATACACCTGTGTCTTTCCACATTATTTTCACTCTACTATAGGTGCCTAACTGCGCTCCATTCACGATCATTGCTCTGGTCACAGTTGGTAGAGCTCCTCTCCATAATCCCTGAACACCCTCTGTTTTCCAAATGTCCGACAGCCCGTGGAAAACGTGTCTGTAATTCCGCCGCTTCTCTGAAAATGTATCCTTTGATTTATATGTCTAAATTAACTAATATAAGAATAAAAGATAGTTAAAATTTATGCTCACCAGGTGGTAATTGCGCATCACCTACCATACGAACATAAATTAAATCGGCCGGCGTTCCAACTAACGCACCACAAATACCAGAGAACATTCCAATGGTGACCATCGTAGGATAATTTAAACGACCAACGTATGATCTGAACACACGTTATTAACTTCTGCTCATACTATTTCAATGTTAAGTCAAATTGACGCTAACATTTAGGTAAAGTTCTTGATAGATACATACTATTTAATTAAATTTAGAGGTAAGTATTCTTACGAGATCAAATCATAGAGCGTGTTATATACACCAAGTCTTGTCGTAGTGTATGTTAATTGTCGAAGTATAGCCGGAGTCCAACCGACATAGAATCCACGTACTCCATGTTCTTGGTAAGTTCTGTATATCGTATCTCTCAAAGAAGTTCTTAAAATTTGCATTCGTATCTTAGTTGCATCCAAAGGATGTGTACATGTTTGGCCAATACATCTATATCATCACGTAGTTGTCGTAGAAACATCGTCTTTCACATAATATTACGTAAAGATAAGATAAGAGACAATTTTTCTCTAAACTTCTTCAAATTTAAATAAATTCCTAGGTTAATTCCTGGTTTCAAAAGTTTATGAAATACATGCAAAATAAAATTAATTTTCAATCAGAATGTTTATGTTTGAAATAAAATAAATTTGCGAAATTAATCAGGTTCAGATTTTAGAAATTTTTAAATAGAAAAGAAATGTATACTGATATTTTACCCTGACACTCCACCAATAATGAAGTTGACATAAGGAGGTATCGTTTGGTCTTGTTTAACTAAGAATAACATCGGATCATAGTCCAATAGAGAACTCATGAAGTTAGAGAAAATAATGCATTAAACTGCATTAAAACTTAACACGTGATATTTAATTCTACATTGATATATTTAATTTTTATATTATAGCTTCTGAATATGGCAACTTTTCAAAACTGAAAACCAATACTTTCGCATTTCACTCGAGTTAAGCACGATGCAATTAATGAGAATTTAAATATTACAATGCGGTCGATAAGATGACAATTATCTACCATCTACGAATTATTTAGCAGATATAAATGCAAGTTTGATTTTAGAAACATGCAGATATATAATAGAAAATTATAAAATATCGCGTTAGAAAGTTATTGTATTATATATTACCGGTACGAAGGATAATAAAATTGACGGACAACTACATGTGATGATTTAAGAATGTGACAAACACTTGTCAGTAGCCAAATTCCTATAGTCAAGAGAGAGTTTTAAAAAGAAATCAATGAGGGTTGGTAAATTCGTTTCTGACTTCGTCTTCGATTTCTTCAGAATTCGATGCAATTTCGTCAGATTTTTATGCATCATTGTTAACGTAGCGGTCATAGAAGGACTAACAGCAACCATCTTGCCGAAATTTCGAATTTCACCATCGTGTAATATTATACTACATCCTTGACGTCTTTTTCTATCATATGCAATCTGCAAATAAAATAAATCGCAATTGGCTGAAGTTACCTGGACAATGATCCAGCTTGTACGATTTTGTAAGAGTTTCATATTTTATAATATGAAATATTACATAAATTTTACTCGAATAAATTATATTAATAGATACGAATAGTGTTTCACTTTCAGAAGATAACGAGCAAACATACGTCACATTCTTCGAACAGATTTTTAAGGGTTGGCCATCGATAAGCTGGAAATTTACTGTGATGCAATTGAGTAATTGCGATCGCGTATCTTTCTGCAGTGTTATTCCATTGAGGTGGCTTTTCCGTATATAAGAAAGGTGATTTCCTTTTCTCCACATCTGGGACTATTGAAGTATCGATCGTAAATTCATCATCCCGATCACTGTTTATGCATATGAAAAGATAATTTTTAACAATTTCATTTTTCTTCTTTCGAAAGAATATTTTACAATTAAAAAAATATCACACATATACGTATCATTACTATATTTCATCCTTAAATTTACTTTCTTCATGCTTAAATTAAAATTAAAAGTACTTCATACTTATATTCACTTACTTATAGCGTCCTCCGATCGCGAATTCCATCCAATCGATGTAATTTTGGCAGTAAGAGTAATAAGGGAATACGTTCAATAATAATACCATCAGAATCTCCTCTTGCTTACGCAAATAACAATAGCAATCGACGGCTAAGTAACCAAAATATCCCTTATCTTGCATACCTCTAGCGAATTTATTCACCGTCGGTTTTATCTTATCGATATCCAAAGAAGTTTGAGGTAACATGTAAATAGTCGTCGAATGTGTGGCTTCTGTCATTGAGATACGTAATTTATAAATTACAAATAGATTTTTAATAGAACAGCGCATAAAAATGAGAAATTCTGGTATTAAGTTGGAAAATTTGATTAGCATCCCTTCGTTACCTGCTCCTATCGTAAATATAATAATAGAAGATTCCCCGCCAAAATAGCTTTCAGTACAGTTTTATAAACACTTATATAACCAAATGACGAAATAAAAAGTTTTGATATATTTTCCTAAAGTTTGAAGTCAAATATAATACCTAAATTTATCTTATCCGCAGTCCCCAACCACTTCGGTTTCTTTTTAGTCGCTTTCCCAGGAACAAAGAAAGAAACCATAATCGTCTTAGGATTTTTTTCCGGGGGAACAGCCTGCAGCAAACACCCAAATTTCTGCATATGAGCGTAGAACATCGCCCAAGTACTATACATCTTCGACAACCGAATCACATTTGGTATGATTTTCGGTATGTGTTCCCTCATTTTCTGAAGAAATTCAGCCCTCAAGCTTGGCTGCTCCATCCAATAATCGCCGTGTTTCTCTCGTTCCCGTCTCAACATCGGCATAAATGGCACGCTAATATGATTAATTAGAAAAATTCCACTCTGTTTACTAGTCGTACCGTAATTCAACTTGATCAACCACATACTAATTTCAGTATGAAGTACCATTAACTCGGACAACGACGAACAGAGTGTTTCATAATCCGTTATGTTACTTTTATACGGTGGCTGCGAAAGGCCAAAGCTGTTGATCATTTCAGACATGTTAGAAGCGTTTAGAAATTTTCGTTGCATTTCCATATCGGGACTCAGTAGAGGAACATTGAGAGCACCTGCCAATCTCATGTCGCACTCGTCGACAATATAAGGCAAGAAATAAGCCGATTTGCCAGCGATTTTCATCTCAATCTCGTTTAGAGATTCTTGAGAACAGTGGAGGATCCTGGAGACGTTTAAAGGGAGATTCTTAAAACAATCTGCTTGTGAGAGAGCGATGAAAGTAATTCGTTTCGCAACGCCTTCGTCGGGTGATATCGACTCGATGAAATCGCTGTACATCGTTAATAGATCTTCGGTAGGCTTCACGGGGAGAATATAGATCACTTCAGCGTTTGGATTGCGTACGAAACAAATTCGTAGGATCGTAATGTTCTGGTAAATGGTGAACATCTTGGGATTGAATACTTGACGTAAGTGTCTAGGATGTCCGATGGATGGTAGATGTAAGACTACATGAGGCTGCCTGGTTATAGAGTCGAATTCGTTGCTTAATTTTAGAGTAAGGTCTCGAGTAGTTTGCAAGGAGACCAGCATTTTCCTGAGGTAACGACGGTGCATTTCTTTTTTTGCTTTTAACGAGATCCAAAAGAACCACATGAGACTCGCGGCTATGTAAAGACACTCTGAGAGCCATTTCTTTCTGCGTAACTATGTAAAATAGGTTTCTATATGAGTATCTCGTTTATAATTATTTTAGAAACACGTTCCTTTCGATAATAATTTCCCTCGTAATAAAAATTTCCCTTCTACGCATTTTGAATATTATCCTATTAGAGACATGATTGATTAAGTTATAACTTTATTCCTTGTCTCGAGACGTTTATGATAATAAACGCAGAGGGCTACTTTATGAAAAATAAAAGAGATTAGCTTATACGATCGTGATCCTCAGCGCTTCATGTATAAATTTATTATTAGTAAAAAAATAATATTTACCCAATAACCACGCCAAAAAGCTTGTATCACTGTCGCAGCCACGTGTTTCCCGTCTATCGCCATGAACTGATTTTTCCAGCTCTTCAACCAAATAGCATCTTTCTCGTGTTTCAACAGAGTTATTAAGTCCGTTCTCGATAGTACGAAACTTGCAAAGTTCGTAATCTTCGCGAAAAAATCAAAAGTGGCGCGTGGATTTAAACGTAATATCGGTACCAAACGTTTCGTTAGAATTTTCTCAATTTGCGGGCGAAGCGCTAAATGCCACAACGATCCGTACAGAACTCCCTGAGCGTCTAAAATCTTTAACCAAGTGTCGTTAGTCTTGAACTTTCCATCGACGAATGTTAAACTCTTCAACTTTGATAATTCATCTTCGTAAGAGAACCCCCGCTGAACCTCTCTCTGCTTAAGAAGTTGAAGGAAGTCTGCAGTCTTCAACGATAACCGAATACTTGCCCGTTGTTTACCATTGACAGTGTCGCGAATAATATCGTGACCGCTTTTCCTAAAAAAATGTTAAACTACATTACGAATTATAAAAACGTGTGTGAGGTATCAATCAGAACTGTTGGATCTACTTGTCCTCATTAACGAAATGAATGAATCAAGATTAAAATATTTCTAATCACTGAAATATCGATACTAACATTGTTAGGTTATAAAATTTACCTACACGTCGATTCGTTTCTTTGGTAAGGAGAACATACGCGTTCGAAGATAAACGATTTCTTGAATAAACTTCAAGTCATATTCGTCGAATTCGGTTAGTGCCATTTCTTTTGGTTTAATTAGGATATCTTGAGTATCATCGAGATCCCATGTAGGTTTATTCTCCCAAGTGCAGAGACAGGATAATTCGTTCTCCTTCGTTTCGTTGAATGCATCACGACACATTTTATAAACTTTCCCCATCTCTTTCGGAGATAAATAAGACGGTGGTTGTGCACGACCTTTTATTGCTGTTAATAAATTAGTGTTCAGACGTACGAGACATTCCTCGCATATTCGTTCAATACTCATGAGTTCCTTGAAAGTATTGTCGTAGAACAGTTGTACAAATTCTAAAGAATCGTCCATCCATTTTTCCGTTCTACTTGCAAAAATGAAAGGCAAATATAATATAATTAAGAAATAATAAAAATATAATAGTATTATACTATTATACTTGTAAATGAAAGTATTATATTTCTATTGAAAAATTAAAACAATATCCGTATTATGAATAAAAGTATTCCAGTGTTTGCGTTTATTTGTTTTTCTTGAATTTATAATTTTATGTCTTTTATATTATTATGTGTATACAAGGTGTCTCAGCTAACTCGATCACCTGGGATAACTTCTAAAGTACGCGTTGTATAAACAAATATTTTATACAAAAGTTGCATGGTTCGGAGAAGTACTTTGCGCCATGTACTTATATTTTAAATCTAATAGTTAACGAATAATTTCGCTTTATTTGCCGAAAATTTATTTTGTGCAATATCAAGTTAACGATACAATACCATCAAATATTTCCGTGAAACAGCGGTGTTTATATGATTACGTTTATCAATACTATAGTTTTTACCTTATCGCAGTCGTCTATTTCTATTCGTTATCGTTCTGTCCTAGGTTAATAAATGATTGCCAAGTAAACACCGCGTCATACGGAAACCTTCGAACCTCCAACTTGATACAACACGAAATAAATCTTTAACCTTTTGAACGAAAAATGTTTTCATACAACGCATAGTTTAGAAGTTATTCGAGAGTTAGTTATATTCGATCAAGTTAGTCGAGACACCCTGTATAAAAGAAGAATAAAATAAATTAAAAGATAATTAAAAGTCACTATTTTACGTTTCGATTTATTTCAGACATCAGATTAAATTCTGTTTAAAATAAAAATTATTCTTAATTTAAAATTTAAAAAATTACGAACCAACCTGCTAAGTTTAATGATTTCTTTTCTGCGATCGCCAAGAAATTGTTTAATAGGAGTAACTTGCTCTTGTATTCCTTTGACAGCAGATTTTATTGAATCTATAAGTTCTGTATATATTTCTTCGGTTTGTAATAATTTATGATGGCGATTCATTTTGGCAATTTTATGGTGAGAATATAAAGTTGCAATGTGGACAAAATTCCACTCTGAAAATAATCATTAAAGAAAACGTAAATATCGTAATTTATGTATGTATAAAATTTATGAAAATTTACTTGTTATTGAAACTGTATCAATTATGACTTTCTGTTCAATCTAATACGTCTACTTCTTTTTAATAGTCTTCTTTATTTTATAGTAATTCCATTTAATGTTAAAATTATATAATAATGTATCGTATTTTTTTGTGTCAAAATAAATTGTGTGTATTTACAAAATAAACATTAATATAATTGTTGTAAATACGTCAGGACGAGTAAAATATATTCAAATAGTCGATTATCGTTGTAATCATGGTTAAGGCTACGGCATATTGATACGTCATCTTAATGATGTGGAACCTGTTTCCATGTGTTATATACAGTACATATACATACTTTAGTGTTCTTATTTTTTGATTACAATTTTACGCGATAAAATTAAATGAATTATAAGTCATTATTATTTTAACTAATTGAACATGATATTTAATGAATAACGAAGATGGCGCTTATTTGAACTAAGATGATTTATCTATATGTATGTTTGTAAAGTACTCGGTTGACATGTAAAGAGGTTATATTTCTCCGTATTACTCATTGCATTCATATTGACTGGAAACGTGTTGCAAAAAATATATTTAATGATAATTTCGACACGGAAAACACGTAGGAGCATAAAGGCGATAATATATGAAGCAAAACCCCATATTTAGAAATTATTATTGAATTTTCCAATTTCTATGACAGTGGATTGTCAAAGTATGTTGTTATACGGTGTTTTCATGTGACTGAAATTGTTCTGTAATTTGTTTTCTTTTATTGGTGTGATCTGATGCTCTCTATGAGTTAGCTTTACTATAGTTATATACAATCTATCAAGAAATATAGTAGATTTAACCTATAATATGAAATTATTAAAAACAGATTGTTGATATGTTAAAATAAAAATAAAAAATATCTCATAAATAAATATGTTACATTAATCTATTAAATCTATGATTGTAGAGAAAATTAAATATGTGTTTTATTTTCAGCAATTTAAGGCAAGGCAATGGGTACAACACCAAGTCGGTACGATGATCTATCTAAAAATGTTTATTTAGAAAAGTTTTGTGGAAAAAAAAGTATTCTTCCAAATGATCCATTTTGGAACACATTTCTGTCTTACAACATGAAACCACCTGTTACAAGAAATGACCAAATAGAATTAGATTCTCGATTGGACTCCTCATGCCAGCAATTACTCGTTAACAATTTAAGTACTGGCAATTTTGGTAGTCTGATACAAGTTGCTCTTATGCGTGCTAGTAATTTACTGGCATCAATGCAGAATCAAAAGTATGATATTTTCATTATCGTATTTCGTAACTAGAATTGTAAAAATAATTTATTACTTTATTACCCATGTTATACTTGATTATATTTTATAGAATCATATCAGCATGGCAAACATATAATGCATTGTTTGCATTGAGATGTATATTGAAATATTTAATTGAAACAGTGGGTGAAGAAGAAATGATAAAACATATAGAAGCACCACAGTTACCAGTGCCAACACAATCAAATTCATCTTACAGATTAAAGGATCTTTTTGAAGCATTAATTGATATTGTAACAGATGTACCACTGTGGTGAGTAGATTATATTTCTATATTGCCCTATTCCACTAATTTAACATTATGTCCTCATTACTTATATTATATTAAATTATTTATATTAAATTATATTCTGTATACAACATTTTTACAGTGAGTTCACATATGTGGTTCATCTAGAAGCTATAAATTGTTTACTTGTATTACTTTCTGTACAATTGTTTTCACAAACTGCAGCTGAATACAGCTGCATCTACAGAATAGCAATGCATTCACATTCTAGTGAACATGCACCGGCAATGGTGTGTACTTTATTGCATAATTTTGTGCAGCAAGAACATGCTCCTCCTGGTTTACTTACACAACAGCCAGGAGGAAGTATCGTTTTTAGTATAGCTGGTATGTTTAATAATACGATACATTATGTATTAGAACAGAATACTTCTTTTGCCAAAAACAAATATTAATATATTTACATCAAACATTTCAGCTGGATTATGGAATGTAATTACAATGGGCATGGGTAGTAGCTTAAAAAATGTACAAGTTACAAGTAATGGTACTTCTGAAGAAGAAGAACGAAAACGCGACACAGAAACACCTCTTGCTAGTCAATCTTTATTACTCCTATTGGTATTAACAAATCACTGTACTGCAACTGAAAACCCTTACAGGAATGCCCTTTTTACATTTGTTGATATGCAAGGCTAGTAATTTCATGAACTTCTACATTAATTTTCAGATATTAAATGATACAAAAAATCTGTCATTGATAAATGTCAATATTCTATTACTAATTGATTCTGACGTAATTATATATATTTTTTAGAAGGCTATTCCACAATGCAAGCAAAAGGCGCATTTAGGTTTAATTTAAATAAATTGTATAATGCTATATGTAAGATACCAAATACAGATGAAGTTACATTATTATTATACATGTTGCTACATAGGAATGCAAGTATAAAACAAGACATCATGAGAAGACCAGATATACAGCTATTGGTAAATATAAACTTATTAATTTATTAACTTAAAGGTGTCATAAACTTGAAATATATTATGGAATTTCTAACTAACATATTTGTATAGGTAATACCAATACTTCAGATATTATATCATGCTCCAAACAATACATCTCATCATATTTATATGTCTCTTATTATCCTTCTAATTTTAAGTGAAGACGAAACATTTAACAAGAGGATACATGAAATAGTAAGTATTTCAAAAAACTATGCAAAAGTACATGAAATCATAAATAATTAATAATAATTATCAATTTTTAGATGCTTAAGGGTGTGAGTTGGTATACAGAAAGATCAATAAGTGAAATATCATTAGGAGGTCTTTTAATTCTTGTTGTCATAAGAACTATACAATATAATATGTTCAAAATGAGGGTAAAGACATGTACAAAAGCAAATATAAATATAATAGAAAATTAATACAAAGTTAAGTAATAATATATTTTTAATATTTTACAGGATAAATATCTTCACACAAATTGTTTAGCAGCTTTAGCAAATATGTCAGCACAGTTCACATCTTTACATCCTTATGTTAGTCAAAGATTGCTAAGTTTGTTTGAAACTCTTGCAAAGAAACATGCTAGATTAGAAGCAAAAATACGCACGCAACCTTCTATTTCTTCTGATAGTACTACTATCACAATTAATGGAACAACAGCAAATACAGATTTGGTAAGATCCTACAGTTATTTGTAATAAATAATTTATGCTAAATAATGTATATATTAAACGTACTTCATTTCAGATTCAAGACTTAACAATACTTGAAGAAGTTTTGCGAATGGTACTAGAGATCATAAATAGTTGTTTAACTCATAGACTCGCACATAATCCGAACTTAATATACACTCTTTTGTATAAAAAAGATATTTTTCAACCATTTAGGATGCATTCAGCATTTCAAGACATTGTGCAAAATATAGATTCTGTAAGTTCCAGTATAAGACATAAGAAATATATATTATAATTCTTAAATTAAATAACTGTACTTTATCCGTCAGGTCATAAATTTCTTTTCTTATAAATTGGAACAAAAAGATCAGTCGCAACTTGGCGTGACTCAGGTATTAACTACGATCCAGCAAGGTACTAGTGAATGGCCACGTGACCGTTTAAGGGTATGTTTTATCTTTTTATATTTATATTTATATTTATATATTATATATTTATATATTTTCTATCATATACGTTGTTTTTACTCAATTGCATTATTTAACTTGTCTATGCATTATATAGAAATTTCCAGAACTAAAATTTAAGTATGTAGAAGAGGAACAACCAGAAGAGTTCTTTATTCCTTATGTATGGAATGTCGTGTGTCAAAGTGCACTGTTACATTGGAATGCAGAAAATATAAAATTATTTTCACCCCATACTGGTGAACAAACCACGATTATCGTTTGCTGATACTGAGATAAAAACTGCTGTTTGCAGTAAATACATGATGCAATACAAATGGAGTAAAAAATATTGGAAGTATTATTTCTTCATGAGACACCCATTTGATACGAGAAAAACAATATATATTGTTTATTGTAAAGGTAATCATAGCAGGCGGATAGAGACTAACATAATACATACTCATTTTACGTCTGAAATCAGTTTGTTGGTATTTATCTCTTGCCTTAGTCACTGTTTCAATTAATTATATTAATATTTCATTTTCCAAAATAACAGTGCTGTGTTGGAAATGGATATTAGTTAAATCTAATGAAATTTAATTAAAATAACATGAAACCGTGGAATATTTTTATGTTTTTTTAATGTGCATAAGCCTAATTAATAAGATATGATTTATAAACAATACTAGTTAATTCATTCATCGTGCAGTAATGAAATTGGCTTTAATTTCATAAGACTATGCATTGTTAAGACTGGTGTTACAATCTATCATTTTAGAAAAGCTGCATTATCGCTTGAATCAAATATCATCGATAAATAAAAATATTTAAATATTCAACTGGAGCAGCATAAATTCACACCATGGGTAAGAGTGAAACTTAAATATAAAAATTTTATAATAATCACAAAAGGATATAAATAAATATTGGAGTTTCCAGATGAATTCATGCTAAAAAGTATTTTCGACATATTAATAAAATTTTCCATAATGAAAATGATAATGATAAGAGAAAATTTTCTGTAAATTGGTTATTACCTCCGCTTTTAAAAAATGATAAAAAACATAATTTTTTTCAAATAGCTCCAATTACATTATAGAATTATTTCAAAACTAGGATTTGATAGTATTACATAATGTGATTTTTAAGGCATGCAAAAATTTCGTTGTACGCCATTATTTATATAGACGCGAAAAAGTTTATTTACATTTTGTTTATCGTATTTAATTGTGAATATATGATATGTAGTAAAAGCATGGAACAAGATATTGTGTTAATTATTTAATGAAAATTTAAAAAAATGGCATAGTGTAACAGCATTTGTATACATATACAATCGACGCTGTTAATGTTGAAAATGATTTTAATTTAATATATATATACATATACTAAAATAAAGAATTCTGATATTTATAAAGAGTATGTTTTTATTTTATCAAATGTTTGATTTAAATGATACAAAATAAAGATGTTTTGTAAATATCAAACTCAATAAATGAATTATAGTAACCCAAAGAATATAGTAGAAGTATTCCTCAAATGATTTTTAAATAGTCACGGGTTCATATATCAAATTATATTTAACAAACTAATTTTGATTAATTTTCTTTAATAGGTAAAGATTTTTGATATGTATATAAAAGTGGATTTTTTAACTTTTGTGTATATAAACCTATTTAAACTAAACGTATGTAACAAAAGACAATTTACTAAATACTATTAAATGAACATTCTTATCTGCTACAAATTAAGAAGGGAAAAATCAATATCAACTATTTTTCAGCCTATAGGACATATTAAAATACATTAAATTCTTCGAGTATTTTATACATAGATTTTAATCATGTCGGTTTCAATCATTATTACTTTGCAACATGTATAACTTTACATTGAAAGCTTCGTTCCTTGATTTTGTAGAACAAAATAAAGTCTAATCAAATTTGTAGCATAGTAGTATAAAAATATGTAAGAAATAAAATTAATATACACTATTAAAGCAAATATACAACGTATCTAAATTCCAATACATCCTATCGGCTGTAAAGTTAGTCCCTCCACTTTTCGAATGTACATCTTTATTAAACAAATACAGTTGACGTCTTAATATTATTTATAATATGTCGTTATAGATAGTATTTCATTTTCCTAGCCTGTGCAGCGTGTATATGCGGCCGCGCGTGTGTATTCTGTATGTATTCTGTATGTACTCTGTGTGTGTGTGTGTGTGTGTGTGTGTATGCATGTAGTGTAAATGTATATGACGTGTACATACATATGTATGCAGGTGTGTATGTTTCTCTGTGTACAATACTATTGCTAATATTTCTCTTGTCGAACGATTCTCAGTTGCAGGATAACAAGGTAATTTGACGTTTCTGTGCGTCGCGTGCAGACGCGCCGAGTAACTCAGTGTGTCACATGTTTAAATTAAGACTTGTGTTACAATCCTTTCTCGCCTTAGCTGTACTTCACGTCACTTAATGACTTTGAAACTGTGCTTAGCGTACATATAGTATCAGTATTAATAATTAAATTCCTTAACGGTACTATATCGTTACTTATCCTTATTAGTTAACACACAATCAATCTGCGACGGGAGGGAATTTAGTCGGTCCGTAACGTGTCGTCCCTTACGGCCTAGCTATATAGTCGGTATAGTTGATTATTTAATTCATTACAACGTTACCGTAGGATCGGTATTACTTTATCTCTTTTTATCCTTCTCTGTATTTTATTGAACGTTGAAATGTTTCAATTACGTGCCAGACACGTACCTATGCACGCAATTTCTGTGGCCTTTTTTCCTTCTTCTTCCATCGAGAGTATACGGTACTTACGTTTGTATACGAATTAGAGGCGAGAGCGTGTGTTATCTGCCGTGCGCCCAAGTGCTCTAACAAATTCGGATCAAGCGTTTCGCTATTCAGGAACACAAAAATTCGCGGGCTTTTTAAAGTGTCACACTTGATTCATACAATCGCGAACAGTATACTCCTGAATTGTTTCACCTTGGACCGATGTTGAATTGAAAATATTCTGCAGACTATTTAGGCGAACGGTACGTGTAAATGTCGAAGAGTATGTATATTTATATACGTAAACATACATACACGGATACATGTGCATATGTATACGTACACTAGCTGCCTACAAAATACAATAGTACATTACAAATTCATACCTTCTTCCCTCTGGTTTTTCGTTTTTCTTTTCTCTCTTTTTCCTTTCATCTCTTAAATCATCATTTGCAAACAGCTTAGATATATTTTTATGTATAATATATATTATATAATAGTATCATCTAGTTGGTTTTTGTTTTGCGTAGTTCCATTCTTTTCTTTTCTCTTTTTTCTTCCCTTACTCTCCATAATATAATTAATATAATTAAGTACATCTTTAGAGCAGGCGTGTACACGCCTAGTTAGGTTTGCAATGGTGTCGTTCTCTCTTACGAATCTCTTCGCTAGCAGCCGAGAAAAACGAGTCTTCCTGATATACACATACGTATTACATCTTGCTCCAAATGGCTCGTTAGACCGGGTAACAAAAGAATGCTCCCTTTTCTGTACTGCAGTCGTCGACGGATACCCTTGGTCGAAAACGACTTCCGATACAGAATGCACCGCGATTCGAATTCTCGCGCTCCTAATGCTCCAAAAGCCAGCATTTTTACTCGTTTGTGCAATTGTCAGATTTTTTATACTTATGCCGTGTAAAAGACTCAAGAAAGGGTCTGTGGGGCGCTGCGTGTTGTGCGATCGAAGAAGGAATCGGTCAATCGAAATTTTGTTCTTTTTCTTTTTTTTATGATTCACGATAAATCTGATGATATCCGACAAGCGTGTGTGTGTTGGTGTATATAAAGAATGTATAATCCCATATAAAGAGAGGAAGTTCATTCTTTTCTAATAGAATTATTTTTTCCCCAGTATTACACCGTACATAAGTGAAATGCGTTTAGATCGATATCCTTGAGAATAATATAATTGCGTTCCGACAACTACGAACCGAGATTGTAAATCAGATGAGAGATTTAAAATTTGGAATAGAGAGAGGCATGGTGGTTCGTCTATTCACGAGGAATTTGCGAGGAAATCCGAAGTGCGCATACACGTGTGTCGCATGTACGCTCTTAAAAGATAAAAAATCAAGTGAAATAAATAGCAGCGGTGTTACTTTCTTCTCCGTTTCGCTTCCGTCGATCATTCTTATTTCTTTTTCTTCTTTTATGTCTTCCGCGATCACTTTGAATACTTAATCGACGCGCCATTCTGTTCTTCCTCGATCAGAGTTTTTGAAACGAAACAAACGCGTAAAGATAACACGCGTATCTTTATCCAAGACGTGTGGAAAAATAGACAAACCGTTAAAAATAAAATTAATTCGTTGGAAAATAAAAATGAGAGAAACAAGTCGCGATTATGGCAAGTAACGTGACGATAGCGAGTTGCTATGTAGGAGCTCTTTACGAAAAGTTTTCAAACTTCTGACAAATCTCTTATAAAAATGATATGATATGCTCGTTGGAAAAATAAATTGTTCATATAGTTTCTATGAATATAGATATCCGTACACAAACTTTCAGTACTAAGTATTCGATCGGTCGGTATAATTCTAAATACACAAATACATACACAAGATCCTTTCATTACTTCGTAGCGAGTATCAATGCGCAGTTATTTACGAGATCATTCGTCGATAATTAATACCCTGCGGATCATTGCACGTACGTGGCATGCATTCAATGACAAACGAACCGTGCTCGTTCTCTATTACAAATAACAGAATACAGAATACTTCCGTTTAACACTCGATTACGTTCCTCGTTACATGCTTCTCTTTTTCTGATGAACGCGACGGATCGTGCATCAAGGAATGGCCGATATTTTTCTTTGCGTCTGTCCCTTAACACCTATATGCCATTATAACAGTTAATGTTTTAAAATACAACAACAGTAGAGCAGTTTGCTTTCGAGACGTTCTCAAGCGTGAAGATACGTCTAACATGCGAGAGATATACTGATAGGAAATCAGTTCCAGTGTTCGCTATTAAAATATAGAGTAGAATTCAACATACTAGTCGCGTAAAGGCACATAAAAATCAGTTTCCCTATGAAACGAGTAGGATTGCACGATAATCCTTTAAAAAAATAACAAACGATACCCTTGCTGGTCGAATCGCTGCGCATTATTTTCCCCCAAGAATAAATTGCCTCTTCCGTAGAGAACGGCGCTCCTCACCACAGAATAATGAACGGACGCTGTATGTATATGTAAGTACACATGTTTTCTTTTTTTCTCTCTTCATGCACATACACGTGTACTTCATACAGTCTGTATACGCAATGAAATTGCATACAAATCTATATGCATGCGCACACATGTATACGGATATGATATTATACCGTACTTAATGGTGAAGCACTATCATAAGATGCGCGGCAATGTCCTTACTAAGAGCTAAGAGTTTTCTTTTTTTCTTTTTGTAAATTGATTAGGAAGGAACATTGTGCAAATTATATTAGAGGTTTTTGTTTCCTTTTTTTTTCTTTTACTTAAAAATAAAGTGGAAAATTGGGCAAGTATCATGCGATGGCTTTAGGCTCAGCCCGATTTTACGTGCTACCGATTAGAAATATATATCTATGTATATATTATTTTTTTATTGTTTGTCCTCATTGATAGCATGCTAATAATAAACTGGGCATCCACGATTTTTAAATACTTAGTTTAGTCGAATATGAAAGACTCGATTGTTATGGAAAAAATATATAGATATATATATATATATACTTATGAGATCAAATATCGAGTTAAAAAGTTTAACGCTTAACGCTCCAAGCGTGCCTTTCAGGCATCACCGATGATTAATTATGTCGAGAAGAAAAATAAATTATCTTTGTGAGGAAAATATAGATAGCGACGATGACAATTTTGATTTTTGCGGCTATAAGCGGATTTTCAGCCGGAAGCGTTTCTTGCAAAATTTTTTGGATGTTACACTCGAACGAGAAC